TACCACTTCTGTTATATGTGTGAATGTTGCTCATATAAGTACAAGGTTCTTCTGGAAGGACAACTGGGAGCAGAGAGCAGGTGGACCAACCTTCCATTGACTTTAGTACCATTTGAATACATGTCATTTGAACGTATTATTCAAGTTAGATATTTTAAAGTATCCTTGGGTAGGACCTTCCCTGGTAGCTCAGATGGTGAAGAATCCACCTGCAATGCGGGAGACATGGGTTCAATCCCTGGGTTGGGAAGATCCCCAGAGGCGGGCATGGCAACCCATTCCAGTATTCTTGCCTGCAGAATCCCCACAGACAGAGGAGCCTGGTGGGCTACTGTCCATGGCATCAGAGTCAGACATGACTGAGTGACTAAGCACATCCTTGGGCAGAGAAATAAGTTATGGGGGTGGGGATGGGAGTCTGAGGAGAGCTGTACTGGCCAGGGGTCTCTTTTTTTTCTTCTTCCTGTCACTTCGAAGCTTATTAGATCTTAGTTCCCCAATCAGGCATTGAACCCAGGTCCACAGCAATGAAAGTTCAAAGTCTTAACTGCTGGACCTCCAGGGAATTCCCAGCTATTGTTTATTTTTGTGCATGATCAGTGAAAACGGTGCACACTTACCCCCAACACATGTATGTTGTTAAACCATGATAACTGCCATTTTGGAAGATCAACATGGTTGATTGCTTGTGGTTCAACCCTAACACTTACTTATAAATTCTCTTACAAGTACTAATAAATGAATATTTCTGTATATTCTATAACACAAAGTGAAGAGCTAAATAAGACTGAGCCTGAAAGTCAACATAAACCAAAGGCTCCCATGTTCCTCCCAGCCCCCACCACCCACCTTGGGGACCACCACCCTTTGAAGTGGGGATCAGAATCAACTTTGTTACAGCCCATCTCAGTGGGAGAAAATAGTTACTCCACAGAAGGGAAAATTGTTTCAAGTTACGGAGCTTGCCACTTAATAAACTGCAGGCTTGATAACATTAATTTAGATGAACACAGGAATAAGGACCCCAACCCCTTCTTATCTCTGCATCTCTAATGCACATGGCCCTCGCAGGCATTGAACAGGAGCCCAGCCCAGGAAAAGTAAATGTGTACAAAGCACAGTCCAACTCCCTCTCCACACCACGGCCAAACCAGGGCAGGCTTCCGATGGGAGGCCTTGGTTTGTATTTATGTAATCGTCCGCACTGGGTCTTAGCTTAGGGTCTTTGGTTGTGGCATGTGGGATCTAGTACCCTGACCAGGGATTGAACCCGGCCCCCTGCATTGGGAGCTCGGAGTGTTAGCCACTGGACCACCAGGAAAGTCCCCCTGATGTGAGTTTTTAAGTGTAATGATGCCTCAGTAATTTGGAGTAAGGCTAAGGGGCAGAGGAGTCAGGATAAAAGCAAAAACTAAGTCACAGTGTTTCAAAACAGCATACTTACTGCTCTCAAGCTTAGGCCCTGTAATCCGGGTTTCAGTTCCCTTACTTACCACATAGCTCAAGATGTCAACTTTGCCCTCCTTAGAATACACACTTACAGAGTACCCACATTACCCCAGCACGCAAAGATCCAGCCTGGGAATCAGAAGTAATGCTAATGCCTGCTTCCTCCTCTTCCATAATAAGGGATTTTCTTCTAAGTAAAGAGAATAAACTTCATTATCGTGAAAACATTTCACCTATTTCCAGATCAATTTCCAACAGCACCCCAAAAGCCCCCAAGATTGGGACAGCATCTTGGATAGACCATGTACTCCACCCTCCCTGGCCCTCACGACACTTCCCTCGGTCTCTCCCCAGGCCCCAAAGAGTTTCTCAGCTTCTACTTTCTGGGTTGTTCCCACTCTCCGTATTCAACTTTGAGGGTCTGATGGTGTTTACAACACTGTGAGCTAAGTCCTCAGCTCCTGAAAGATATGCATTTGAGACTCCCTTGGAAGATTTGTACAGGCACCATCCTCCCAGAATAAGACATAAAGTGCTTGGGCTTGTCCATGTTTTATAACTACTATAAGGAGCAAAGGACACCCTATTCCCATCTTAGAGATGAGAAGGTTAAAGACAGGAAACCAAGTAGAACTCCAAACACAACCAACCTGGAGAAGGCAGCACTTCTCTGGTGGTCCTGGCAGCCATTCCAGGCAGGGGTCGCTGGTGGGGGTTGCTAGGATGGGAGGATGCAGGCCACCCAGCAGACCACCTCTACCACGTGTTACACAGGGGAGCTTTTGAAGGCAACTGCCACCTCAATAAATATGTTCCTCCACTAGCATAGTCGCTAAGGTCAAAGTCATGACCTTATCCTCTTTTTATATAAAGTCAAGCAAACTTAAACTTAGCCGATAACCAAAGTTACAAATATCACAGGCACGGTAGGCAGAGACCTCCTAATGGTTTTTTCCTAAACCAGGGAAACTAGACAACCTCTAAGGCTCTTGTATCTTCTTACGCCTGGCCAACTTACAGAAATGTTTGGAGGTCTCCTAATCAATGACAAAACTTCACAGAGAAAATATGTATAAAGCTACCCGTGTCTCTAATCATGACTTTATATATATATAGAGGTATTCATATACGTAGATATGCTCTTAATAATACACCTTTTTAAGAGTAGGCATTCTATCTCTGGCTCCCCTGGTGGCTCAGATGGTAAAGAAACCGCCTGCAACGCAGAAGAGCTGGAGTGGGAAGATTCTCTGGAGGAGGGAACAGCTACCCACTCCAGCATTCTGGCCTGGAGAATTCTATGGACAGAGGAGCCTGGCAGGCTACAGTCCATGGTGTTGCAAAGAGTCAGACAGGACTGAGCGATTTTCACTTATTCTGTCTCTAGCAAATGTCAAATTATGAGAGTCAAAACTATCTTCAGGATTGCTGCGTGCTGTCCTCCCGGTTAAGGAAACTGCAGAGATCCCGTCTTTTCCTCCTGGGAAAGGAGAAACAGAAAAAAAAAAAAAAAAAGATGCAGAAAGTTTCTGGTTCCCATTGTCTTCAGCTTAGTGGGATTTGTCTGTGTTTTTTGGAAAAGTCTATATATAACAAAGTGAGTGAAGTGAAGTCGCTCAGTCGTGTCCGACTCTTTGTGACCCCATGGACTGTAGCCTACAAGGCTTCTCCGTCCATGGGATTTTCCAAGTAAGGGTACTGAAGTGGGTTGCTATTTCCTTCTCCAGGGGATTTTCCTGACCCAGGAATCAAACCCGGGTTTCCTGCACTGCAGGCAAACGCTTTACCCTCTGAGCCACCAGGGAAGCCATAACTATTTCCTAAAAAGATCCCTAAAGTTCTACTACCAAAGACATAAGCAAAGACATCTAAATAGCCACAGAGTCAAAAAAAGAAAGTTTATTGAGAACAAGAGTGAAAGCTTCTGCAAACATTTGACAAGGTAGATGTGTCTTGATAATAGCTGCTGTCCATATTTTAACTCTACCTTGATAATAGCCGCTGTCCATATTTTAACTCTACCAATATTACCACAAATGGGACATATTTTTTCTAACAAAGATATGGACGTATGTAAAGGGCTATGACTAAACAGAGTCAAAGGAAAGTTGAGGCCCCACAGCTTATCCCCTAGACTGATACAAGACATAGGACTTAAACCGAACAATCCAGTCTCCTAATACAGTGGCTCTCAACCTGGCTTCTTAGCAGAATGCCAGGGACTCTTGGAAAGAATACCTCCACTATTAGACTATACGCAAGTAAGAGTCTTGGCGGGGCGGGTAGGACCCAGGTATTGGTGTTTCCCAGGTGATTCCAATGTGCAGCCAAGATGGGTGGCCACTGCTCCAGAGGCAGGTAACGACCCCCAGAAGGCTCCTCAGCCCATCCACTCCATTAGGAAGGGGCATCTGCTGGTGTCGTGGCCTCTCCGTGAACCTGTCATTTACTCTGCTCTAGAACTCCAGGCGTTACCAGTTTGGGGTACAATTTGGAGCCCTTCCATTTGCCTTAGTGATTTTTACAGCAATATTTAACCAGGCAAATACCATCAAAGAAAGAAAAGCTGGATAAAGAGAAATTTCCATAAGGCATGATATGAATAAATAAGTGAAAATAAACAAAAAAACAATCTCAGGTTTAAAAGTAAAGCAGGACACAAAATTCTGTAAAGCAATTATCCTTCAATTAAAAAATTTTTTTTAAAAAGTAAAGCATGAGAAGTCAAAGCCTGTGAAATTTTATTTATACAAAAGAATAAAAATATTTTAAAAGGGTTGATTCAAACTTATGTTTTTCGGTTTTTCTTGTTCCTTGAACATGAAACTGCTTTCAATTCAGAAAGATTTAAGGTAGGTAATTATTAAATAAACACTCTTTACCTTCCCTCTGCAGAAAAACAAAAAGCCAAGTCCCATTCTATTTATGGTAAACCAGATTATATTCAGTTAAGAATATTGGCAACTGCACAAAACAGATCATCAGATATGTCAGCAGGAAGGTAGGTATGAGCTGTACAATGGCATTACAAAAAGTCCCCAAAGAAAATAAGATGGTAAAAACAATAATAGAAAAATGATAAAACACAAACAAAATAAGAAAACGTCAGATATTTACAGCCTCCCTCTGAAATGTGACCTGTGTTCTACATTCAGCATAAAACAAACCCAGAGAACATTTCTCCATGCGCATGATGGATGAAGCTGGTGCCAGCCAGTTCGGGGGTGGGGGGGGGGGTGGGGGGGGGAGACATTCATTCCAAGAAGGGAGGAATGCACGGTTAGCAGCTTGTTGGGAGTATAACCATGTCATGTGTCTTCCTGCAGTTCGGTTACTAAAAATGACACAAAGTAAATGATCCAATGTGGTCTTATGGAAATGACTTGTTTGTCACCACATGTCGGAACAAACGACTCAAGAGTCACAGGCACTGGGGTCTGGGAAAGCAGAGGTGGATGGCCACGCACTCAGGTGAAGGATGCTCATCTTTGTGAGGTCGGAGGAGGGAAGCAGGGCTCTAGAGCCTGGAAGCGTCTGCACTAATGAGTCTTCTAATAGTCCTGAAGAGAGAAAAACAGAAGTCCCAACTTACCCTCGGCAGAACATTGATAAATTCTCACCAACAACCCTGCCAGGCGACTGTTCTGTAATCAAGATTCTGTTTCAAGTGCAATGGACATTTCACATCTGAAAGTGGCCTGTCTTCTGAGTCCCACAAAGGGACGGAAGCATCAATTCTTACTAATTAGACCTGAGAACTCACCAGTCAGAGGCATGGCGGGGGGTGGGGAGGATGAGGATGTGAGAAAGATTAGTATGAACAGTTGATTAATTAATCAAATGGAGTTTTTCTTCAGTTAAAAATGTGTGACCCTTTCTCTCTTCAAAATACAACAAAAGAACATCAATCTAAAAGTTGAACTGTGTCCACATGGACACCCCAGGCTTTAAAACGAGAACTGTGACCCCAGATTAGGAACACTCAAGCTCTGAAGGCAAATACATCTTTCTAACCGTTTTCAAAATTTACCAGCCTCTCTGAAATGGTCTGGCTGATACTTACAGCTCGTGGTTTTTTGTTTAACTTCAGATCAATCCTGTGATGGGAAAGATAAAAGATATTTGCATTTTAATTTACAGAAAAAGGGTCCAAGAACCAGCTACTGCATAGGGCACAAGCTATAACAAAGACTATTTGGTTAAGTAAAATCCACATTCTCCATTAGACTAAGTCATATTTAGTTGTTTACCCAGATATTATTGAGCAAGTATTTATTAAAAACATGAGCAGATACTCTTGCCACAAGGTAAACTTAGATGACTCAAAAAGAAATATACAACAGCAGTTATGAAAGCCATACAATTTTTAGAAATTATTCCAAAATGACATGTTAAAGGGCTTGGATTAAGAGGACATGCTCTACGTTAATATACTAGTTCTGCAACTACATCACTGTCTGAGACACAGAGTAATTAAGAACAGGAAAGAGACTAGGAGTTTGTATTTTTGGACATGAAACACAAAAGAAATTAAACAAATTTCAATTTTTAAATCTTCCCACAGCAAAATATCAAGATCTTAAAACTTTTAACCTCCTTATGAAGCAAAGCCGGGACATCAATTTAAATATGAATTGAAGTAAAGGTTATCTTATTTTTCAAGAAATCGAAATGCATGAAAGTGAAATTTACTTAATTTTGCTTAACTTATTAAATAAAACGTTACCTCCATCACGTTTTTGTTTTTAAAAAAACTTCCCAGCCTAACCTAATATACATACCTATAATTAAACAGATAAACTATGGGTTAGAAAGGTCTTGAAAAGGCATACTGGTCTCTACACACTAGACAATACAGCACAAAGACTAGTTCAAATCAAACTTACTCAAAGTCATAATCAAACATGCCAGACGGGCTGAGGGGCAGCATTTGAAAGGAAGAAAGCAATAGACGTTAATAATATACTAATTGAATAAATTAGTTGATTAGCCACCCTAGCAAGGTTGTAGAAACATCAGTTTTAAGAATCTTAAGCCACAAAGTTTCAAACATCAAAGCACCACAGATTCTGGGGTTGGGAGACTCCCTTCCTTCAGTGGATTTCGTATCAGAGGAAAAGACTATAATAAAAGTTATTTCATTAGAAAACTATAGATACCTACAGGCCTTCTATTGGCTGCTAGATTGAGAGTTAGAACTTTTAAAATATTTAATTATAATGAAAAATAAACGGGATTAGAAGAAAAAGAGAAAGAAGGGTTTAGTCACATAATGAAAGGGGCTTTGAAGACAGCAACAGCAACTCAGCATAATGTACTTTCGCTAAAATGGAAGATTAAAACATCATAAATTTTTGGAGATAAAAAACATTTCACAATTTCTGACTCAGGTTTTATATTTGTGTCCAAACATGGTATTACTTTTCCCAGCATTTGTGCTAGAAGCCAAGGGTGGAATCAGAGTCTTATTCCATAAATCATAGGGCCATATTACAGTGCCCCTGAAATGGTGGAAGGCAAGTTAACTGTTTATGTCAGCACTACTATTATGGAACACCAAAGTCTGCAAGGAAGTTAACATCTACAAGCACCCAAGCCGCAGGAGTCTAGCTGGGAAAAGCCCAGAGGAGGCGACTTTGGGCCGTCTCTGCCCAAAAGGACAGAGGACAATGGGCTGGGGCAGACCTCCAAAGCAGACATTAACCAGGGGCATGACACCCGTCCTTAGCTGGTTCCAGAACCTTTCAGGCTGTAGACAGATGGTAAAACAGTATGCAAAACTATTGTTATTTCCTCCTAGCTAATGTTTGCAAGAGCAAAGCTGGAATAAAGCTTAACTTAACATCCTTTATGCAACAGTTTCACTTAAGACATTTGGGAAAAGTATACACTAAGTGTACAAACCAGGAACTGTCAGAAATTTAACTTTCAGTCTAACTTTGATCAGAAACTAAAGAAGTAGACTATACCTACTTAATGAAAATTTCATAAACTACCTAGAATTCTAGAGCTTGGTATAGTAGTAAAAACCTGTCAAAGCAGCTATAGGTTGTAATTTCAACATTTTTCTTTAAACACACTGTGATTTACTGTTCTGATATCATGTAAAGCATAAGAATTTAGAATCTTGTGATCATTTATGAATGCTAAAGATTGATAGATTTTCATATTCTTGAAAAGGTCAAATAAAAGTTATTTCTTTTGCTAAGGTACCTATTTATTTCCACTTCGTTTACTCATCACTAAACAATGCCTTGGCACATGGCGGGTATTCATACCTTTGTTGAAATAATTTACCATTGACTTTTATCTGATGATACGGAGTGTGGAACACTGGAGGAGAAACAATACTGTACTGGGAGCAAAATCACAAACGTGTGCAGACAAAGTGCTCCTCCCACCCCCGCCTGTCAGGCCCACTAAGACACTGGTCAGGGACGAGGGCTTCGGGCCACACACAGTTCCAGACTAAAGATGGCAGGAGTCCGAGGTGTGCTGCACAGGTTTTCTCCAGAGGGAAGGGACATCAACTCCATTCTCTTCCCTTGCGGCAGGTGAGTCGACCCTAAGGCCCACAGAGAAAGCCAGCCAGATACTAAACCAGGGGGATAACAAAAGGATTCTGCTTTCCAAACAAAAAGCCCCACTGTGAAGGCAATAACTAACACCGAAGATCTTTTAAATCCTAGTATTTTTCTGGAAGGAGTTAGCTCCTAAGGCCAGGAGAAGAAAGGCAGGAAAAGCTGTTCCTACGGAATTCTACTAGCAATCTGCAAGGAGAAAGTTAAGTTCGATGTCTAATTCCTTTTTATCAGCTGTTTGTATCATTAAGGAAAATACGGTATAACCTGAAATACACAACAGCTATAGAGAGTCTGTCGTACCAGGAATGGAAAAAAAAGTCCCAGAAACTTTCAAGGAATTTATCCCCTCCTCTAGATACTCTGAAATAGGAAAATGAATTATTACATTTAAAATTACACTGGAGTAAACCTAATGAAAGCAACACAGGGCATAACCTTTTTATCTTGACAATTAAAAAAAAAATACTTTTAAGAGTATGGCTCTCTGCTATTCACGATAAACTGGCATCGGTCCTGTCATAGTAATCAAATAACCTGTAGCCTTATTTAAGAAAAAAAAAGGGAGACAGAGCGATGCAACTTTTGCTCTCTCTTACTACACTTATGACACTGGCATGGTGATTTTGGTTTGCAAAAAATGTTAAGTTGCAGTCCTCAGTCACTGTCTGGAGCATATACTGCTCCTGCATCTAAAAACCACCACCACCAATGACAAGAAAAACTCTTAAAAGAATTGAAGAATCAGTTGATGCCAGGGAAGCTTAAACCTGTTAAGAGTTAATTCTATATTATCCCTGCTTGCCACATCCATCAAGCTAACAACGTAACACCCTGGGTGCGTGAGGACATGTTCTGCAGGAGCGCTCAGCCAGAGGTAAACTGAAAGACAGGGGACCCCGCCATCCCTTGCACACCCCCTTCATCTCCTCAGCATGCAGGCTCCTAAGAGGGCAGGACAAAAGTCAGCCTGTTGGATGGTCTGGTTTTCATACCTCCCAGGAGAAGGTCTGAGGCCAGGACAAGATTCCTTCCTGGAAAAACTAAGAATTTCCCTCTCTGAGTGCAACTGGACGAGTTCAAATTACCTGAGCTAGGAGGCCCCGGAACTATCATACAAACCCCAAGCAAAGTGAATGCTGAAATCCTCTCTGGGTAACATCTGACCTCTCTGCCCACTGGTGTGATTCCTAGCTCATTAGGCACTACAAAAAAACACAGTGAACAAACATTATCTAGGAAGGAGCTCTTGTATCTTAACAGCCTTTATATTGTTCCTCTGACACTCAAATCAGCAATTTGTGAAGATATACAGAGAAATCATAAGCAATCACAAACCTTGTATTTAAAAAGCAAAAAGGTTCATCAGCTCATTCATTCCATCCTCCAGGGAATAACAGTAGGCAGGGATCAGGACTAGGAGCAAATGACTTAGCCCATTCTGCAGCTTCCCAACAGGCTTCCCAGGTGGCGCTAGTGGTAAAGAACCCGTCTACCAATGCAGGAGACATAAGAGACACAGGTTCAATCCCTGGGTCAGGAAGATCACCTGGAGGAGGGCATGGCAACCCCCTCCAGGATTCTTGCCTGGAGAATTCCACGGACAGTGGAGCCTGGGTGGCTACAGTCCACAGGGTCCCAAAGAGTCGGGCAGGACTGAAGCGACTTGGCACGCACACACACAGCTTGCCAACACATGCTAGTGGCATTTTCCAAATGCCAGTACACAGATTCCATTTCTAGTTCCCTTTTCCTCCTCTGAAAGGATTTCAAATTCACTGTACTAAACAAAAGTTTTATGGTCTGGAAGATCCCCTGGAGAAGGGAATGGCAACCCACTCCAGTATTCTTGCCTGGAGAATTCCATGGGCAGAGCAGCCTGGCAGGCTACAGTCCATGGGGTTGCAAAGAGTCAGACAGGACTGAGTGACTTTCACTTTTCACACTAGAAGCTGTAAGCAGGATGTCTCCCTTCAGTTACTCTAATCCCCACCAACTCCTTCCTTAGAGAAAAACTAGCCTGCTTCATTTGGACCAAATGAGTCTCTTCCCATCAGCAACAGAAAGACCACACTAATCCTGAAGAATGTTTATTCCAGTAAAGACCCTTCACGGCCATGATGGGTGGCAGCTCTAAGTGGCTGGGAACGGGGCAGAGGGGCAGGGGTTGGGGAAGTGTGGTCCCCGCCACTGACCTGTGCCGGTTTTTATTCTTTCGCTTTTTATGGCTGCTGTGATGACTCCCTGTGGAGGTGGAAGAAGCAGCCTTCTGAGGTTTCACTCCCTGCACAGATCCATCCAGATCCTCAGGGTCCTCCTGGCTGGGCTCGTTTTCCTGATTGTGGAAGTCTGGAGAAGTGTCACTTTCCGTCCCACTTCCTGGCTCCCCTGGAGGGAAGAAACACAAGGCCCCCAAAGCATCATCAGTACTCCTCAGGCAGTTTGTCCATCAGTCTGGAAAAGAAATTTCGAGCACCAAAATATATGGTACTACTCTCAAGGACCACATATTCCAACTGACAGGAAGATACATTCAGTCAAAGCATCAAAGTTACCAGAGTGCTGAAAAACTTGTAATCTGAAACAGTGTAACCACAAGCAACAGATCTAAGGACAGCTGAGAGACTGGACCACACAAGATAACCTTGCTACATAGCAGTTACTGAAACACAGAATACACTAATGGGATTAACAATTACACAAGAAGCATTATAAAAAACATTACATAGGTCTCCAGGAGGTGAGAGATGACCTTGGGAAAAGATCCTACAGCTGGCCCTGGTTTCTTGCCAAACTACACATGAATCTTGACTTTCCATCAAGAAAAAGGGCCAAGGAGGAAAAGAGCTCCACCACCTAAGTTACTCTGAGAAGCCTTAAGAATATTATTTTAAAAATGGTAATAATACCTTTCAGTTGACACATATTCCCAATTTTAAAATATCCCTCAGATACATTAAATAATCAAATTCAAGAACAATTTGTATAAATACATGTTTTTAAGAAAAACTACACATACTTTGGTAAAAGTACACTTTTTCTTCCTGAAAGGAATTCCTTGAAACTCTTAATACAAAAGGAGAAGACTTTCACTTTACTGAACTGATGAAGAATCCTAAATATGTGTAAATTACCTGTTTCTAAAAATTTTCAAAAGGAGTTCGGTGAACAGCAGAGCCAAGGATTAGTTTTCTTCCTGTTACATCTTAGTAATATAAACTTCTAGAAAGAGATTTCAAATTGAGCAGCACAAGGATATGAGAGCTAAAACAAAGAGGCAGTCCCCAAAAAGCAGAAGGGAGAAATGGAAGCAGATCTCAGCAGTGATGAATCCTTGCCTTTGAACACTATATGAAAACAGAAGAGGCAGCTCTAATACTATTAAGCTAGAAAAAGTATACTAACCAATCCTGTCCTGAAATCAAAGTGGATTTAATAAAAAATTAGCACAAGAACTTCAAAACTTACTACACAAAGCTACAGTAACTAAGACTGTGTGGTACTGCCCTAAGACCAGACATATAGGTCAAGAGAACAGAATTCAGAGTCAGGATATAAATCCTTACATTTGTGGTCAACTGATTTTCAGCAAGGATGACAAGACAGTTCAATGAAAAAAGAACAGTCTTTTTGAAAAATGGTGTTGAGATAACTGGATATCCACACGCAAGAGAATGAAGTTGGAACACTATCTCACACCATATGTAAAAATTAACTCAGACTGAACCAGAGACTCATATGAAGAAGTTGTAAAACTCTTAGAACTCACTGGATTAGGCATGGTTTCTTAGATAAGACCACAAAACCAAGCTTAACAAAAGAAAAAATAAGTAAAGTGAACTATATCATTTATATACAACTCTTGAACTGCAAATTACACCCAAAAAGTAAAAACACAACCCACAGGAGTGAGGCAGGGGCAAAATGGGCAAATGGGGTCAAGTATATGGTCACATATGGAAACTAAACTTTGGTAGTGAGCACGCTGTAGTATACACACAAGTCAAAATATAATGCTGTACATATTGCACTTATAAATCAATGCTGCCTTAAAAACACACAACCCACGGAATGGGAGAAAGTATATTTGCAAATCATATATCTGATAAAGACTTGTATCTAGAATATATAAAGAATTCTTAGAACTCAAGAAGACAAAAAAATTAAAAACATTAGCAATGGATTTTTTTTGTTTTGTTTTTCATTTATTTTTATTGGTTGGAGGCTAATTACAATATTGTAGTGGTTCTTGTCATACATTGACATGAATCAGCCATGGATTTACATGTGTTCCCCATCCCAATCCCCCCTCCTGCCTCCCTCTCCACCCGATCCCTCTGGGTCTTCCCAGTGTACCAGCCCTGAGCACCCATCTCATGCATCCAACCTGGGCTGGTGATCTGTTTCACCCTTGATAGTATACTTGTTTCAATGCTGTTCTCTCTGAACATCCCACCCTCGCCTTCTCCCACAGAGTCCAGAAGTCTGTTCTGTACATCTGTGTCTCTTTTTCTGTTTTGCATATAAGGTTATCGTTACCATCTTTTTAAATTCCATATATATGCGTTAGTATACTGTATTGGTCTTTATCTTTCTGGCTTACTTCACTCTGTATAATGGGCTCCAGTTTCATCCATCTCATTAGAACTGATTCAAATGAATTCTTTTTAATGGCTGAGTAATATTCCATAGTGTATATGTACCACAGCTTCCTTATCCATTCATCTGCTGATGGGCATCTAGGTTGCTTCCATGTCCTGGCTATTATAAACAGTTCAGCAATGGATTTGAATAGATAGCTCTCTAAAGAAGATACACAAATGGCCAATGTGCACAGGAAAAGATGCTCAACATCATTAGTCATTGCTGCTGCTGCTGCTAAGTCGCTTCAGTCATGTCTGACTCTGTGCGACCCCATAGACGGCAGCCCACCAGGCTCCCCCGACCCTGGGATTCTCCAGGCAAGAACACTGGAGTGGGTTGCCATTTCCTTCTCCAATGCATGAAAGTGAAAAGTGAAAGTGAAGTTGCTCAGTCGTGTCTGACTCTTAGCGACCCCATGGACTGCAGCCTACCAGGCTCCTCCCTCCATGGGATTTTCCAGGCAAGAGTACTGGAGTGGGGTGCCATTGCCTTCTCCCATTAGTCATTAGGGAAATGCAGAACAAAACTACAAGTAGGTAGCCCTTCCTAACACTAGGGTGGCTATAATAGAAAGACAAACAGTAACAAGTGTTGGTGAGGATGTGGAGAAACTGGAACCTTTCAACAGGGCTGCTGGGAATGTAAACTTGTACTATCACCTTGGAAAACACCTCAAGAGGTTAAATATTGAGTTAACAAACCACCAGCAACTTTACACCTGAGTGCATATCCAAGAGAAGTGGTAACATGTTCACACATAACTGGTCATAAATGTTCACAGAAGCATTATTCACCGTGGGCTTCCCTGATGGCTCAGTGGGTAAAGAATCCACCTGCAATGCAAGAGATACAGGAGACATGGGTTCAATCCCTGGGTTGGGAAGATCTTCTGGAGAAGAAAATGGCAACCCACTCCAGTATTCTTGCCTGGGAAATTCCACAGACAGAGGAGCCTGGTGGGCTACAATCAATGAGGTCATAGAGTTGGACACAACTGAGCAACTTAAGCATGCAAGTCTGTCAACTGATGAATACATAAATAAATAAAAATGGTATATCCATGCAATGGAATACAGGCATATCTTGTGGATTCGGTTCCAGATCACCATAATAGAGCAAGTATCAAAATAATGAGAATTACACAAATTTCTTGGTTTCCCAGTACATATAAGTTATATTTATACTATACTGTAGTCTAGTAAGTGTGAAACAGCATTATGTCTAAAGAAATGTACATATCTTAACTTAAAAATCAGTTCAGTTCAGTCAGTCAGTTGTGTCCAACTCTTTGTGACCCCATGGACTGCAGCACACCAGGCTTCCCTGTCCATCAACAACTCCCAGAGCTTGCTCAAACTCACGTCCATCGAGTTGGTGATGCCAACTCATCATCCAACCATCTCATCCTCTGTCGTCCCCTTCTCCTCCCGCCTTCAATCTTTCCCAGCATCAGAGTCTTTTCCAATGAGTCAGTTCTTCGAATCAGGTAGTCAGAGTATTGAAGTTTCAGATTCAGCATCAGTCCTTCCAATGAATATTCAGGACTGATTTCCTTTAGGATTGACTGGTTGGATCTCCTTGCAGTCCAAGGGACTCTCAAGAGTCTTCTACAACACCATAGTTCAAAACCATCAATTCTTCATTGCTCAGCTTTCTTTATAGTCCAGCTCTCACTATATGGTCCAACTCCATACATGACTACTGGGAGAACCATAGCTTTGACTAGACAGACCTCTGTTGGTAAGGTAATGTCTCTGCTTTTTAATATGCTGTCTAGGTTGGTCATAGCTTTTGTTCCAAGGAGCAAGTGTCTTTTAATTTCATGGCTGAAGTTACCATCTGCAGGGATTTTGGAGCCCCCAAAAATAGTCTGACACTGTTTCCATTGTTTCCCCATCTATTTGCCATGAAGTGATGGGACCGGATGCCTTGATCTTAGTTTTCTGAATGTTGAGTTTTAAACCAATTTTTTCACCCTCCTCTTTCACTTTCATCAAGAGGCTCTTTAGTTCTTCTTCATTTTCTGCCATAAGGGTGGTGTCATCTGTGTATCTGAGGTTACTGATATTTCTCCAAGCAGTCTTGATTCCAGTTTGTGCTTTATCCAGCCCAGCATTTTACATGATGTACTCTGCATGTAAGTTAAATAAGCAGGGTGACAATATACAGCCTTGACATACTCCTTTCCCGATTCGGAACCAGTCGATTTTTCCATGTCCAGTTCTAACTGTTGCCTCCTGACCTGCATAAAGATTTCTCAGGAGGCAGGTCAGGTGGTCTGGTATTCCCATCTCTTGAAGAATTTTCCACAGTTTGTTGTGATCCACACAGTCCAAGGCTTTGGCACAGTCAATAAAACAAAAGTAGATGTTTTTCTGGAACCCTCGTGCTTTTTCCATGATCCAGGGGATGTTGGCAATTTGACTATTTACTGCTAAACAATGTTAAACCATCATCTGTCAGATGGTTTGCACAGGGTTGCCACAAATGTTCAATTTGTAAAAAATGTAGTATCTGCAAGGTGCAATAAAACAAAGCATGCCTGTGTTATTCAGCATTAAAGAGACGCAGGACTTCTCTGGTTGATTAAGAATCCACCTGCCAATGCAGGTCCTTCTCCTGGTCCAGGAAGATTCCACATGCCATAGGACAACTAAGCCCGTGCTGGTACCAAACTACTGAACCTGACAGTCTAGAGCTGGCGTTCCGCAATAAGAGAAGCCACCCCAGTGAGAGACCTGTGC